TTTACCTCCACTCTGCTTTTGCAAATCACCACCATAAGTCTTGCTTGACTGTCTCTGAAATCCTAAACTGTAATACAGCACTTGGGCCTCAATCTCCTAGACATCAGCTCTCTCATTCCTTTCTCTCACTATCCCGTTTTCTTCCTGAAGATCTCTAGTTCCTTAAGTCTTCCCTTTTCTCTCAGTCTATCGGGCTGATCTATTACTGATTCCCATCTCTCCCACTTAGATTCTTTCAAACACAGTAGTGTAGTGTAGTGCTGCCAGTGTGGCCTTTGAAGCCAGACTGCCTGGGTTAAAATTCCAGCCTACCATCAACTATGTGTGCCTCAATTTTCTGAGGATGTAATCATAGTAATCTCTTCCATTGCTGTTATAAGAATTAAGCAATTTGATGCACACATCACGTTTAGAAAGTGACAGGCCACAGAACAAGCATTTGATAAATATTACCATAATAATTATGATGTTACTATCATAATTATTCATCTGCTCTCCCAGAAACATATTAAACCTCCCTGACTAGTTCTTCTGTTGAACCTTCTCTTGAAACCTCAATCTCTGGCTCAATCTAATCATTCATTTTCTCTGCTCTTATTACTTGGCAGCTGAGGTCTCCTGAAAATAAACAACAACAACAACAACAACATACTCCACTGTGTAGGTTGATGCTGCTATAAACTTCAAGCTTCCAGACTCTGCTTGAATATCCTTTTACAGGCTTCTGGATGGTTTCTTCATGCATTCCTCCCATTTGCTATTCTAAATCTTCATTCTTTTCAACCCTCCAAGCTGCTGATCTTTTCACCCTTGCTTGACAGTTCTTACATGAACCATCTAAAAGCCAGCTAAAAATGTACTTACATTCTCACATCCTTTTCTTTTCTTTTTAAAAGTTATTTTAATTTTTGTGGGTACATATTAGGCATATATATGTATGGGTTACATGGGATACTTTGATATAAGCATGCAATGCACAATAACCGCATCAGGGCAAATGGGGTATCCATCCCCTCTAGTACCCATAGTTTGAGTTTCAAACAATCCAATTATACTCTTCTGGCTATTTTTAAATGTATGATTAAATTATTTTTTTACTGCAGTCACCATGTGGTGCTAGCAAACACCAGGTCTTATTCATTCTTTCCAAATTTTTTTTGGACCCATTAACCATCCCCACTCCCCACTATCATCACTACTCTTCCCAGCCTCTGGTAACCATCCTTCTACTCTCTATCTCCGGGAGTTCAATTGTTTTAATTTTTAGCTCCCACAGTTAAGTGAGAACAGGTAATGTTTGTCTTTCTGTGTCTCCCAACCTTTTCTACAAACTCATAAGAAGAGGTCTTCTACCTTCTGTCCTGGACTGCTCTTTCTCATTCCTTTGTGGATCTGATTCCATTATTATCTCTTCTCTCCCTCATTCATGTCAGTCCCCAAACATGCTCAATCTCTCCAATCTTAACAAAACAAAGTCGCAATACAAAATAACACCCCTCTGAACTTTGAGTCTCCCACTATCTGTTGTCTCTTCTTTCTCTACAGCTAAATTTCTTGACCTCACCAAATGTCCCCTGGGGCAAAATTGACCCCAGTTGAGAACTACCGAATAAAGGTTATAATACAACATAAAATAGAGCAACAAGTGTATAAGTAAATGCAGAAGTTCTCAAAAGAGGAGCCCAGAGTGGTCTCCAGTCTCTTTCATCCATTCAGTGCATTTTTTCAGCCAAACTCTCTTCCAAAATCCAGTTCCTAAAGCAGACAGCAAGCAGAGCATCTCTGTACTTATCACTCTCCACTCATTCCTTAGCTCACTGCAATGTGACTTCTGCCCCTACTTCTCAGATCTTTTTATACTATGGCAATGTCTTTCTTCTTAATGGCCAAATCCAAAGGACATTTCCTACCTTATGTTACTTGAATTCTCCATAGTACCTTTAAGCTATCAATAGTGACTTCTGCTTTGAAATTCTTTCTTTGGCTTCCAAAATGCCACCTTCTTTTAGTTCTCCTTCCATTTCTCAAGGTGCACCTTCATCACCTTTACTCACATTTTTTTTCCCTTTAAATCTCAGTATTCCTCAGGCAGAGTCCCCTCCTCAGTCCCTTTCTTACTGCCACTCTTTCCTTAGTGGTCTCCTTTTTTCCGATGACTTTAACAATCACTGCCATGTTGGTTACTCCTCAGTCTTGCTATCCAGCCCAGACCCCGAATCCTAGGCTCCAAAAGGTAATGCCTGCGTTACTCTCTCCTGGGCCCTTCTTTCTGCATTCCAGTGGCAACACAAATTTGGCAAGTCTATTCTTACCATTCAGCAGCTCTTTCTCTCCTATTTAGCTTTGAACTCTTTGAGGATATGGATCCTTTCTATTTTCTCTTTCAATGATCTGAAAACAGCACAGTGCTTAGCACCTAGTAACGGGTGCTCAATAACTGTCATTTGAATTAAGGAACAGACATGCTTGTCTTTTTTCTCTAGTATTGGCAGTGGATTTGCCAACTCATCTCTAAAATAGAATTATTTTTCCTATTTCCAAATTTCCTCTCTTCCAGTCTTCTCAGCTAAAGACATCACTGTCTACCCGACTGCTCACCCTCACACCTCAAGAGCCATCCATGCTCTTCCTTCTCCCTCACCTTCCATATCTAACCCATAAGCAAGTGCTATTAGCTCTGTGTCAAGCCATGTCCTAAATTCCACTATTTGTTACCACTTCCAGCACTACCACTGTGTCAGGCCACTATCATGTCTTACCTGTCCAACTGCCACAATCTCCAAACTGGTTTTGCCTGCTTCTGCTATTTTCCCCTCCCATGTCAGAAGGCTCTTTCTAAAACATTCCTCAGATTAGCTCGTCCACATAAAATACTCCATGGCTTCATTACACTTGGAATGTGATCTAAATTCCTTACCAGGCACTGCATTACTCGGTCTCTCTAACCTCTCCAACCCCATCACCAAATCCAAACCCAATCCAAACCCAACTCCCTTAATTGTTCCAGGAACAGCTCTTTTTGTTGTTTCTCCAGCAAGCTAATTGTTCTGGCTTAGGGTCTTTATACTGCCTACTCCCTCTCCCTAGAATGCCTCTTCTGAGAAAAACAAGGCTTACCCTTCTCAGCCTTCTTATCCCTGCCCAAATGTCACTTCCTTAGAGCATCAGCCTACAAAATTAGCTCCCCTAAAGTCATTCTCTAACCCTCTATCCTGTGGTATTTTCCTTAGAGCACTTATTCTCTAAATTTGTATTTGTTAATTTTGATTACTTAATTTTTTTGAGACAGGGTCTCACTCTGTCACCCAGGCTGGAGTTCAATGGTACAATCACTGCTCACTGCAGCCTTGACCTCCAGGGCTCAAGTGATCCTTTCAACTCAGCCTCCTGAGCAGCTGGGATTACAGGCATGCACCACTATGCCAGGCTAACTTAAACAACTTTTTTTTCTTTTCTTTTTTTAAGAGATGAGGTCTTACTATATTTCCCAGGCTGGTTTTGAATTTCTGGGTTCAAGCGATCCTCCCACCTTGGCCTCGAAAGTGCTGGGGTTATAGGTGTAAGCCACCACACTGGCAATATTTGTTAATTTTTAAATTAACTTTCTATATGCTGCTATAATATAAGCTTCATATAAGTTTTTTTAAAAAATATAAGCTTTTTTTTACTTTCCTGTCTACTATTACATTTACATTGTGTAGGGGCATAACTGGCCCATGGTAAATAGTAAATATTTGTTGGAATAATGTGATCCCTGTGTCCACAAGCATATCTTTACTAACTGGTAAGTGTTATTGGGTCTGTGAGGTAGTCTTTCACTGTGTGAAGACAATTTTCTTAAATGGGAACTAGCACCAATCTCTAAAATCCACACACCTGTCAGGACTGACTATAACCAAACTTTAGTTTGGTTCCCTGGAGCCCTCTTCTTGACTATGCCTTGTTTTTGGGCTGGGAGCCCAATTTTAGCAAGAATCTGCTGAGTCAATTTAGGGAGAATCCCCTTGGCCCTCCACCTTTGATATTTAATCAAGTTCCTTTTAGTAATTTTCCATTCAATGACTCCCCCATCTTCACTTTGTCTACTGGCTATAAACTCCCAACTGCCCTGGCTATATTTGGAGTTGGGTTCCATCTCTCTCCCCTACCACAATATTCTTTTTTTTTTTTTCTTTTTTTTTTTTGAGATGGAGTTTTGCTTTCATTGCCCAGATTGCCCAGGCTGGAGTGCAGTGGCGCGATCTTGGCTCACTGCAACCTCTGCCTCCCGGGTTCACGCAATTCTCCGGCCTCAGCCTCCCAAGTAGCTGGGACTACAGGTGTCTGCCATCATGCCTGGCTAATTTTTTGTATTTTTAGTACAGACAGGGTTTCATCAAGTTGGCCAGGCTGGTCTCAAACTCCTGACCTCAGGTGACCCACTTGCCTCGGCCTCCCAAAGTGCTAGGATTAAAGGTGTGAGCCACCATTCCTGGCCTACTGCAATATTCTCGACCCCTACTGCAGTAGTCTCCAATAAAGTCTTCCTTGTCATTTTTAACAAGTATCTGCTGTCATTTCTCTTTAACATTAAAAACTATTTGCCAACTGGGCTTGTTTAAAAACACTTAGGGAATTTTCATTGCTCTCAAAAGAAGTTTCATGTGTTCTTTGCAGTGTGAAGGGTCAAAGAAAGGCTTTACTTGTCTCTGACTGAAGAATATGGTTTCTCTAGTATACAGAAGAATGAAAGAATGAAGGCCACATGATTTGTTTTTGTCGCCTCTGTAGTTGTGGCTATTATTCAATTTGTCACATTTATTTTCAGTTGTTCATGCGGTGACACTTTAAGGAATAATCGAAAACAATGCTCAATTCAAAATGACACGACACCCCAAACCTCCTAAACAAAAGCATGTTCAGCATATAAAACAATAGTTTCCTCTCTGCCACATAACCAATATAATTCACATGCAGTCCACTCCTGACTCTGTCACTGACTTGCGATGATATGATTATACCTGCAACATCAAACTCGATTTCCAGTGTGACCTTGCTCGTGATTGAAGAGTCTCGGAGGAGCTGATTGGCTTCTTCGAAGGTGCTGTCTTCTGTTGGAATTCCATTGATGGCCATCACTCTGTCTCCAATCTGTAGCACCCCACATCTAATTTAGAACCACATGTGAGAGGTTGTAGATGGAGTAAATAATTACCAAGTTGAGCTTGTCAAATCTACCTTGCTTGATCCTTGCAAAATAGCATCATAATTTGGTCTTGCTTATTCAATGCTGTGGGCATCATACAGGTCAACTTCAACATCTTATGTTGTTGCATTTCATGGTTATAATTGTGAGCAGGGGAATCCTGAAGTATCCCAGAGAAGTAATTAATAATTCATAACCATAGTATTGTTAGAATCTGATCCAAACCAATATTTAGTAATGATGAATGTATATTCCCCAATGGCAGAAACTATTGAAGTTGAACTTCAGGATATGTTTTATTTATGAATTTTTCTCCTTTTTAATTAATATAGCTTCTAGTCCCTTGATGGACAAAATCTACTAGTTAAAGGCATCCATGCTCATTACTCTTTTCAAACCTGATCAAGAACATAGAATTTTATTGTCAGAAGAGGGTTCATCACATCTTGCATTTCCTACACTGAGCAATGTTTCATAATTCACTAGCCATTCAAAGATAGCAGGTACCAGAAACGCAGAGCAGAAAATGATGCTGTAAAAGAGTCTCACCTCTCTGCTGGGCTGTCAGCTTCGATATAGGAAATCAGAGGTGGAGAAGAGAGAGTTTCTGTGGCAAACACACTGCCCTGCAGTTGGATCCCAAATCCTGTGACAGGATCTGCCGTCAGCACAACCTCTGTGGTTTCTGTGTGAACAACCTGCCCAGCCAATCCCACTGTGCTGGAGGCTAAGGACACTAGAGGAACAAACAGAAAATACTGACTTTAGGTTGGAGCAAGCACCAGGAATACCAGCATTTCCAAAATAGATCGTGTCTCTGCATAAAAACTTAATGGCAATGGTGGGAGGTTCAATTATGGCCTCTGGTTTAGCAAAAGTTGAAAAAGATAAGTGAATCTCTCAATATTCATCACATTTCAATAATAATATCAGTGTATCCCTGTACCCTGGCTCCCCACTCCTCAAACCAGGGATCATTGTGGGGGCTTTAAGAGGATGGCCTTAGGGTCAGGGTACGTGGGTTTTAATACTGGCTCTATCACTGAACACCAGCTGGGGAACATTGGGGTAGGCCATTTTGTGTCTCTGTGTGTCTACATCCTAAGAAAAAGGGAGTTGAGCTAGCTGGTCTCATGTTTTTTTCCACTTTAGCCATTTGCATCTGGGCTTTGTGACTTTTAAACAATCCTACCTTCAGCTTTGAAGAAATAATTAATCTAAATCTGACCCTTGGAGTGGTGAGGCTGTACTTTTCCTTAATCTAGTGTTGAATTGGCACGATGATGTTGTTTAAACTCTGTACATTCCTCCTGTCCCCTCAGAGTTTGTTCTCTTCAGCCTTGCTCTTTCCTACTGGGTCTCTAGTCTACGTTGTTGTATTTCATTTATTTCCTATTATTTATCCTATTTCATTTATCTCTCTGATATTCATCTACACCTTCCAGCAGATGTCTCCATCTTGTTTCCATTCCCAACTCATGAAAGGGCTGCTCCACTCCTCCATGCCTTTCTCTCAGCCCTGCCCACTGGAGCTGGGCCACCTGTGCTCTCTGTGAGCAGTCTCTGCCTGCAGGTCCTATGCTGCACTGCCTCTTCCTCCAGAGTCTGGCCCCCTTTAATTAAAACCTGATGACACCACATACCTCATAACCCTCTCCAAAAGCCATTTTTTTTACTCTCTCTACAAATGGCAGGAAGACAGGTTCATAATTCTTGCTCTCCACATATGGTACATTGATTCAACTACTCCTATTTAAAATTCCATATTCTGTACTTATTTCTGCTCTGTCTCATTTTCAAGCCCATAATCTACTTTTTCAAAATTCTCCCCCTTTTCTTCATAACTTCAGGACTTACCTCTTAGTCTGCCTCTAACCTGTAGCTTTTCCTTGTCCTCTGCCTCTTTGACATTATGGTGATAACCTTCTAGCAAGCTGGCTTTATGCTTCTTCAACTCTCTCCCTGTCAGTTCTAGTAATGCCACCCTACTTCCACTCTCTGCCAGCAGAACCCTATGGTGGTCCCCATCTTCCTTCAAAATGAATAGATCTTCAAGATCCTGATATCCAAATCCCCCTTGTTGATCACATAGCCTTTATTAGCCATCTTTCCCACTTCCTGCAATCTGTCTCCTCTTTATGACTTCCAGTCCCATTCCCTCTCACTTGTCTCCTGAGTCTACTGGTTTTCCAACAATATTTTAGCAACAGATTTTTCCCCCTTAAAATGAAAACATATAAGGGCCGCCTTTGTATTCCAGATAAAAACAGCTACTGTAGTTGATGTGGGAATGGGAGACCCCTGAGGCTTTCCCTGGCCTCATGTGGGGATCTGGCAAGTGCAGGTGGAAAGCCATTGTCTTTGCCCACTGGCTTTGCTGGCATCATTTTCGCCACACTCCACATGGACTTCTAGTGAGCATTTTAATAATGCATCTCCTAGGGTCAAAGATTCTTTAACCTCTTGGGATTTTTTCTATACTCTAATATTTTATACTCTTCGGTAATGCCCAGTCAACTCCACTGCTGTTACTAAGTTGCTGAAGAGTGCTAGGAAAAGTCACTACAAATTCACAATCCTATTAGGCCCTTAAATTAGTTGTTGTGTGATATTTTGACACCTTATTTCATTCCACAAAGGATCTGTCTCATATGTTTCTACCCTAAATCATGGTCAAACGTTACTCCTCATTTCCTATAAGACTGAAAAGATGCAACCCTTTGACCAGAGTTCCTTAAACAACATTCTGTTTAGCCTCAATTTCTCTTTATCATTATTTGTTCCCTCTTCCTTTTTTCCCCACTACAGGAGGTTGTATTCTTCCTTCCATTTCAAGGCTAATTCCCCCTGTTAGTGTTTTTAATACTATCCCTTTCCACCCCCCATGATTTTGTGCCATGAAAAAAATTTCTCTCTTGCTTCTTTTCCGAACTTTTCTACTCACTCCCCCAGCTTTCTGACCTCTGTCTATAGATGTGTACTGATTCTGAAGCTGCTAAAAACTTTGTTTCTGCCTTCACCATTTACCGAAACTGCTCTCACCGATGACTTCCTGACTGCTAAAATCAATGGCCTCATCTGCTCTACCTGGTGACTGGCTTTAGGACCATCCCTTGCTTTCTAAAATTGTTTGCTTGGTTTTGATGAAGATTTGTTTCGAGTGTCTTACTTTTTCAGTCCCAGCCAGTTGCTTTGCCGCCCTCTGCATTCCAGTGCACAGTTCCATCCTCCAAGTCTTTTCTACCCTCATTCTTTCCCTCATTCATTCCCAGCATGCCTATATGTCTTCCTCATGTATCTTCTCAACTCTTTCTCTTGTTTTTGTCAAGCTCCAGTAATGGATCTCCCTCCTTGATGGGTATCCCATCCACACACTCTCTCATTGGCTCCTCGAACTCAATGTTTTCAAAATTGAGCGAATCCTCTTCCCTCTCTCATTGCCACTACTATTTCTGTGAACAGGCTCTCTAGGCTTGAAATCTCAAAGTAGCCTTAACTCACAACTCCCCATTGTCTCAAATTCTATCTACTGCTAAATCCTTTCGGGATGGCCACTGAAATATATCTTACAAAAATCCTCTTTTCCCTTATTAATTTCAGTACCTCAATTTGGGCTTTCATTATTTTTCATTTGAATTATTCTAATGTACTTATTTCTGGGTCCTTACATGCACAATATTCCCTACATATTATTTCCAGCTGAACCTCCCGTCAGATAAACTTTGCTGATACAATGAGGCCCCAACTTATCTACTCTGCATGTATCTTCTCAACTTTCCCCTTAGTTTCTGTCAAGCACCAGTGATGGATTTCCCTATTCAATGGGTATCCCATCTACAAACTGTCTCGTTGGCTCCTCAATGTTTTCAAAACTGAGTGAATCTTCTTCCCTTTCTTATTGTCACTACTACAGAGCAAGGCCTCATCATCACCAGTGTACATTACTGGATAGACTTCTAACTAGTGACCCTGCCTCTTGTTTTATGATAACAGCCTCCAACTGCTGCTAGAGTAGCCTTCCTAACATGCAAAGGTAATCCCTGCCCCGTTTTGAATTTTCAATAGTTCCCTGTTTCCTATAGAACAAACTTTTCAATTCTAGCAGAGTATACAGGACCCTTCATCAGTTCCTTTCTCCTGCCAACCCACTCTCCTGTTTCTCTTGGTCCCTTCATGTGCCATGTGCCTCAGCTCTCTTGACACACTTTTGTGTCTTCATATATACTGTGCCCTCTGCCACTCAGCTCTTGCTCTGGGTCCCTTTCTCTGTTTTATCCAGGCAGAATTAGGTACTTACTTTTCTATATTTTCACATTTCTAATACATGGTCCCGTTTCAGCATTTATCAGGTCTCTATTTGCCTGTTTCTCTCCACCTGACCCTGAGTCCTTGAAAGGTTGGAACCAGCTCTTTTAATCTCTGAAATCTTAGTGCCTGGAACATTCAATCAATGCTGAATAAATGGGGAATGAATCAAGTTTTTGGATGTCATCTGCACATTCCTTTCAGGAAACAATACTTCTCATAGATGATGCTGAGTTACCGTAAGGAACTACAAGTCATTCTTCAGGACCCAGGTAATTGCAGCTGATGGGGCAAGGGAGGGTGAAGTAGAACATTTGTCTAGCAGGAGTAAGAAAAAAAAATTGACTTTTCCTTAAGAAGCACCATCCTCATTCTGTTGCAGCTGGATTAAGATTAACAAAGCCTGCAGTGGGGGGTGAAGGTAGCCTCCAACCCTATGCTTCTTACAGGTGGAAGCTTGCAATTGCCAGGTCTGACACATGGACTGCCATGTACTAATTTAGATCACATGTTCTGGTGTGGTTTTACTGATGTAGAGTGTACCGTGATTACTCTCCAGATCATAATTTTTGCTATCAGTGGCACCAAATCACTGGGAGACACCATTTCCTGTCAATAAGGATCTGGAGAGTACGTTGCATTCCAGTTATTTCTCATAGAAAATGGGAGTATCATGTTACAGCATCACACGTTTGGCAGGTAACTTCCACTTATCTTCTAGGTGAAGCTTTTTGGACTTAATCAGGAATCCTTTACTTTCTGTGACTCTTTTGTAAGTTCACATTAATTTTTTTTTCATTTGAGATGACAATTTGATATAGATTATCAGACTACTTAATTGGTGTTAAAAGCTATTTAAGAAACTTTAAGGCAGCTGTTTACCATCTTCACTAAGAAAGAGCCAAGAAAAAAAGAGGTCAGTTTAATAGTAACAGGTGAGATTATATTAGATATAGTGAAGCCTTCTCAAAAGAAAGACTTGCTATATTTTTTGAAACAGTGAAGATAGTTGAATAATTTTATTCTCTAGAAGGTTTTGAAAATAAGTACTAATTTAATATGAATATTATTAAATTTATAAGCTCTATCTGGAGGCAAGTTGAGATGATACAAATTATTAGAAAATTGAATTTAGGATTTAAAATAAAATTACATATTATGTATTGGTTTTATAATTATATAGTTACAATTTATATTATACATATAGGATTATAGCAAATAATTTATGATTTTATAATTAACTCTGAAAGTCCTCTGACATATTGGAATCTTTTATTTGACAGAGCAAAATTTCATTTGAAATTATATGTATTGATTAGTTACACATATAAAAGTTTTGAAAATTATTACCAGATATGAAAAAGATATATTGTAGATTTAAAGATAAGGAACCAAAAGGAAAAAAAATCAATATTAACTTAGAGGAGAAAAAAATGAGCTGGATTATCCTGCTTCATTAATGTGGTCAACCAGCAAAAGAAGATGAAGGTGAATATTCCCCTGTCATTTGAAAATGTGGATGGTGAATTCTCTCTCCAGGAGCAGATGCTTCTGCAAGGTATTCAGTCATCATTGCTACTAGCTACCAGCTTTGGCCGAGGCTTGTCTACTCCTCAAGGTGAAGATGGAAATGACTAAATTGCTGACATCCTATGTTTGAATCCTGCTAACGGGTGTATGCTGAGGCTGTGTTCAAGATTCGTGCCTGCTCTGTCCTATTCCCATTCTCACATGGAGGGTTCTGTTCACAACTCTTCAGATTTGCAGGGAATGACTGTATTTTTGTCAATTCTTATTCTTCCTAGTAAAGGGAAGGGGCAGCCAATAACACCTCCAAAAGTTTAAAAATTTACCCAATGTTTATTTAATTTAGAAGGCTGCAAGATTTTCTATCAGCTATGAGAAGCATTTAAAAAATATAGAGAACTAAGGACCCCAAACATTTATTACTATAATCTGTTTTTTTCTTCTTTTTTTCTTTTTTTGAGATAGGCTCTCACTCTGTTGTCCAGGCTGGAGTGTAGTGGCAGAATCTTGGCTCACTACAACCTCCATCTCCTGGGCTCAAGCAATCCTCCCGCCTCAGCCCCCCAGGTACCTGGGACTATAGGTGTGTGCCACCACACCTGGTTGATTTTTGTATTTTTTTCTTTTTCTGTAGAGACAGGGTTTCAACATGTTGTCCAGACTGGTCTCAAACTCCTGGGCTCAAGTGATCCACCTGCCTCAGCCTCCCAAAGAATAATGTGTTTTTATTAGTGATCCTGTAATCTAAGACTTCTGTCTCACTAAAGTGTTCCACACTATAGTCAACCTGCCATAGACCCAACACATGTGTATCATGTGATCCAGTTCAGGAACGCAGTAGAGACGGCCAACAGCTCCTTTGTCCAAATGAGGGTGTAAGGACAGTTCTTAGGGTGTCCCCTTCCAGGGCTCCCTGAATGGTCACTTATAAAAGCTTACCAGTAGCTGCCTTTATCTTCCATTCTTTGTTCCCAGGTCGATGGAAGGGACCAGAAAAGTTGTTAGGTTTTTTCATTTTCTTTCCTTCAGCTCTTTTCAATGGCACTCTCTCTAGTTACTGCTGATGACAAAAGCAGCAAAGACCATTCTGGAAATGTGTTCTAACTTCTACTCTTTGCTGAAATTCAGGCAGACTGGGAAGAGACAGTCTCTACGCTGGCCCAGGGTACAGTGGCGGGGAACAGAAAGCACAGCAAACTAGCTAGATCTGTTGCTCAGCCACGCTGTTGTTACAGGGAGATGATGAGGTTCTGGAAGGAGACTTGGCCTCTTTGGCAGAAAAAGAGGCAGCACAGGCAGCCAGGGAAAGGGCAGTAAGATTCCAGCAGAGGAGATGAGAGGGCTCCCTCTATGACTTGGCTTGGCCATGCCTCCAGGGCTTTGTGACACTCGTCAAAGCCTCATGTGTGCTGTATTCATTATTTTCCCTATGAAACAAACATGACACCTTCCTGTTTTAATATTTATAACACATTGCTATATACAGACTTCGTGTATTTCCTCTTTGATCAGTGATATAGAATGTTTTAATTTTCACGTGAGAAGGTTTCATTTTTTTTTCTGGGCATCTCCTTCCTTGGCATTGGAAACACATATTAGAATTTTCTGTTTTGCAAGCTCCGGCCTCAAGTCATCACCAATACAGCAAAGGGACTTTTTATTGTATTTGTGACTTTTGCCATGATTCACCATCTACACAATTGGCCTGGTTGCTATAGAAACATTAGTATTACAAAGGGGGCAGCAAATGGTGGCAAAGGATAAAGACATAAATAAAGTGGTGGAAATAAACCATGGTATAGTAAGAGTGGCAATAAAACTTTTATTATCAGTTATTTGGGAAGACCTTTACATCTAATGTGACCATACCAAACCTGTGCAATAAAAGAAAAAAATCCTCATTAAAAAACAAAAAACAAAACAAAACAAAAAAAACCCCAAAAACCTTTGCAACGCTATCATTTTTTCAGATCTTTTTGAAGTGTGAATAAAAGTTGATAGCATTTGGAATTTATTGTTTGAATAAAATGTAAAATGTATGATCTCCTGAGACACACTTATAAACATTCTGGTATGTATATTGTGAGTGGTGCTCTAGTGGCTAATGTCTACAGCAAACACAAACAACTAGTAATGTATTGAAACACGTTTCTGTTTATATTTCTAACATGTTGAAGAATAATGTCCTGATTCAAGTAAGAATTTATGAGTTGGTTATGCATATCAGTGACAGCGCTGCCTCAGCTTTGTTTCCTACTACAAAATTTAAGATATGTAAATATTAACCTGAGATAGCCAAACATTATTCGTTTGTATTCAGTAATGTCCCTAATCAACATAGCAAGTCTTCCCTAACACAAATACTAGTCTTTGAAGCAGAAGTAGGAACACTAATGAATTCATTTTAATTGCTCTTCCCTGCTGAGGGCTGTTAGCCTATTTTTGTCACTGAGGAGTACTACACACAAAGTCATTATCTGTAAAAAAAAATTCATATACTAATAACCACCATGAACCCTGAAGGCATTATATGGAAGACTCAAGACCTATGTATTAGGCCAAAATGTACCCCTCGTGAAAAACACTAAACTCTGAGAGCAATGTCAAGAGATGTTCTTACGTGATAATTCAGATTTAGGCAGATGATAGTTAACACAAACTATTCAAAATAGCTAACAATTAAATTGTGCTTACTATTTACCAGGTGTTGTTCTAAAACACATATACATATGCAATCTCATGTAATCTCAATTGCGCAATGAAGTAATTCTTCATATTTTCAGTCAAGGCATACCTCATGCAATCTTCACAATTACCCAATGAAGTGATTTTCCCTATTTTCAGTTGAGGCATAGAGTTTATAGAACTTGCTCAGGGTCCTACAGCTAGAAGGTAATGATGCTGGGATGGAACCCAGGTAGCCTGGTTCCAGAGTCTAGGCTTATAACCAGTTCACTATATTGCATTCAACTAGTTTCTTCCAAGAGTAAATAATTTACTCTAGTGTCAACTAAAAAACATATGGGACTCTAAGAGCACTTTGTTCTCATTTTGACTAAATTCAATCTTCCATTTTCCATTTCAATTTTACTATCATTTTCATATACCAAAGTTGACAAATCTCCTTATATGTAAAGTATATATGCAAGTCTAAATGATGTACAAACCACAGTGGTGACCCTGTCTTTTGGAATGGAGTTCACTGTAGGGAAACCTTCAGGTTCCTGTGTCATGAAGAAACTAGTTCCCAGTGTGGGTGATGGCTGGTCTTGGGCACTTAGGGTGGCCCTGGTGAGACTGGAGAGAGATCCTCCTGGGGAGATGAATCTCTTGCAAACAAGCTGAAAAGCCAGTTAAGTCATACCAGCTGTGAAGTAACTGGCTTTGGTTTTATTTAGGTAACTTAAGGATGTTCCTTATTTTTATTCCCATGGTGAGCACAGGAAGAGATCCCATCTTCTTTAAATTTCTTTGTAGGAATCATAATCATGGCCATCAAAAGGGATACAGGACAAGAAACAGACTCTCTAGACTATGGTTAGGTCTAGTTAGAAAGGTTAGTGTTTTCTTCTTCCACAAGTTATGTGATCATGCTGAGAGAGAATGATCTTCTCTAACAGAAATGATAAATGTAGGAGTGATTTGTATTTCTTTCTTTTTAAGGCATTCAATCACCTTTTTTCCCCTCTGTTCAGACAACCACTATCGAAAGCAAGTAGCCAACCACATCTTCCTAGTCTTGCTTAGTGTATATCGTGTTTGGCTGTCCAGATCATTTTTACAAGACTCATGGTTGAAATTCCATGACTTTAGGATGCTTATTGTAAAACTGAGCATCCTTCCAAACTTCCTCAGACTGGAGTGGGCAATAAGAAATATATGTTAGGCCGGGCGTGGTGGCTCACGCCTGTAATCCTAGCACTTTAAAAGGCTGAGGCGGGTGGATCACGAGGTCAGGAGATCAAGACCATCCTGGCTAACACAGTGAAACCCTGTCTCTACTAAAAATACAAAAAATTAGCTGGGCGTGGTGGCAGGCGCCTGTAGTCCCAGCTACTCGGGAGGCTGAGGCAGGAGAATGGTGTGAACCCGGGAGGCGGATCTTGCAGTGAGCCGAGATCGAGCAACTGCACTCCAGCCTGGGAGACACAGCGAGACTCCGTCTCAAAAAAAAAAAAAAAAAAAGGAAATATATGTTAGATCAGTGACTACCAGTGGGGTAGGTTTCTGGAAAAAGTATTGGAGTCTTGGGGAATGAGATACAGTTTAAAAAGGGATGTTCATATTTATCATTGTTTTGGGGAGGAGGGTAACAAAATATAATTTAGTATGACATTTATGATAACATTAAATGAATGCATGAGAATCTTATATTTATCAAAAGGGGAGTATCATTTTCACAAAATTTATTTAGAGTGAGTAAGAAACTAAGAACAAAGGTTTCATGTCCAAAGTTACCCAGAATATAACACAAGGAGTCTTAAAGGAAAAATCATACCTTTGGGTATGTTATGACATCAAAAGAGCAAGAAAAATCTCAAATCTCAAATAAAAAGTTGTAGGCAAAGGTAGTATGAATGAATTCAGTCTGAAGTTATAATGGGGTGCAGTCATTGCCAAACAGATACTGGGTATCATGCCAATGGTCTTTGGCACAGAGCTGTTAGCTGCTCAGCATCTACCTGATCACTTAGGCAACTGTGAAACACTCTTCCCACAATTTCAATATTTCCAAGGTTCCAATGCCCACAGGTTTTTTTCCAGGTCAAATGCCATTGGCTGTTATTTCACTTACATGAGCTTTTGAAGTCTTTCTTTTTCAGTCTCCTCCTCATCATGGTTCCACGTGGGCTGGTGGAGTAGAGGCTTCGAGGTAGAGTCCCCATGTTCAGGGAACTCAGGCTGTATGCACTCATGGAGGTAGGAGAGAAGGATGAAGACACCAAAGCTGCTGCAAGAGAGCGAAGATGTTGCACAGAGCACTCTCAGGTGGAGTGTGAGCTCGCCACACTTGCCAACCAGTAACGATCCAGAAAGACACATATGATGCATAGCAATGGCTAGAAAGGACTCTAGCCAGACAGAGGACAGCCCTCAGGAGCATGAGACAATGCTTTAGAAGAGCCTACAAATGCTAAGGGGCAGCAGGATCTTTATAAGCTCATGGGAACACAAAGAGACTCTATGAGAATTGCTTTAAACAAAAGAACAACTTTGTCTGTGAACAACTCAATGCATCAAATACATAATCTCATTTTCATGGATATTTTCTGACATGAATTTCATAAGTGATTCCACATACACAAAGAAGACCTGAGAACATTGTCTCTGTATAATATTCTGAATTGTTACTTCCTCAGCCACATATAAAGCATTCTGAACATTTATATCCTTTGCTAACAACAAATGCTTTCTGATGGAAAAGAAAAAAACCTAGGAGATGTCAGAAATGATACATTGCTGCTATAAGAAACAGAAAAAAACAACACCCATGAAGCCAAAAGGAAAGAGTGAGAAAAACATAATTGAAATAAAAGACCAGGAGGAGAAAGCAGGGAACATTACGAGGGCTGTTTGGAGGAGGTGCTTTCGGGAGTGTCAGGGCTGGTGCTCTGCAATGGTCAGGGTGGTGCGTGTTATAGTGATGGTTGGTGTGGAGGCTGCTGTGGTTGCTGGCCCAGGAATCCCAGGTAAGTTGCCTGTCGCTCCTCTGAATTTTCACTGCCCATATGAAGTGATGATGAGAAATAAAAACAAACAAACAAAAACAAAGAACCAAAAAAGAGGAAAAGTAACTGAATTGCCCAAATTAAAAGTATAACAAAAAACAAAGCTGCTTGCAAATAAAAACAAATCTATTTGGCTTTGCCCTTTTCTCAGTGGTCAGCAAAATAGATGATTAACATAAAGGATGTAAACTTTTCATCTTCCCAAGAATAATGCATATCTTTCCTCAGCTCGTTTCTTCTTCTTTTAAGATGACTACTGAATCAATTTCTAATCTCCCCCGCTGCTTTGCAGCAGAGATTAAAAACTTTTTTTTTTTTAACTTAAAAGTCAGCCCCTCAAAGATCTATGGCACACAATTAGTAATTAAAGATTTGCAAATCTTGGTCAGTTAGTAGCACTTGTTTTGAGAAAAAGAAAAGAAGGAGCAATAAATCACATCAGTGCATGATTCAAGTGGTTTACTAGTCACACATCAGAATTTACTGCTCTGACATTTTAATCGCACTACAATCCATCACTTGGACTTCATTTTCCTCAACAATAAACCACTCTAATCATCTATCAGTATCAGAATCTTATCTGCATCCCATCTAATAAGGAGAAGATGAAAGTCTCTATATTTTATGATTTTTTGAAAAAGCATATTTATATTAGAAATAATTATTAAAATATTTCACGTTTTTATATTTCCTTGATGTCATAAAATTTTAATAAAGTTTATTTCAAACTATATTAAATAAGTTTGAAATAAACTTTATTAAAATTTCAAATTGGCATCCCTTTTATGTTTTAGAAAATCTTTATCACGTTTCCATTCCAGTTTCAACGTTAAGATTTGATATTCCACCCAGTGTTCTGAAATATGAGCAACATAATGTTTGTTTTTATGTCGGATATGAAGTTTTTCATTTAATAATCTTAAAGAACTCAAAATAACATATGAACTTATTTTATTTTTCTAGAGGTGGGGTCTTCCTGTGTCACCCAGGCTGGAGTGCCGTGGTGTGATCATAGCCCACTGTAATCTTGAACTCCTGGGTTCAGGCAATCCTCCCGCCTCAGCCTCCTGAGTAGCTGGCACTACAGGCCCATGCCACCATGCCCAGCTAATTTATTATCATTTTTTATTTGTGTAGAAATGGGGGTCTGCCTATGTTGCCCAAGCTGGTCTCAAGTGATCCTCCCGCCTCAGCTCTGAGTTGTTGGGATTACAGGCATGAGCCACCAGGCCTGGCTTAACATATGCATTTATATCTCCTTCTACTTTGATGATTCTGGTGTTAGGTGTCTTACATGTGAATATGTAGAGAGGTGAAATACTCTATGCATTGAAAAGAGGGGTCATTTAGAAAAGAACTTAAGTTATATCAACTGTGATGCCAGTTGAATTGGTCAATTCGCATCCTTTCTAGAATGAAACAGTACATGAAAAAAAAGCACTAGCATGGACAGATCACTGTGCGGTGAAGCAGACCTGGGTTTCAGCTCTGCCTCCAGCCCTTCCTCTCTGTATGACTTTGGCCAGCTACTCAGCCACTCTAAACCTGGATCTCCTCAAACGCCAAATGGAGATCATGGAATCATCTACCTCACAGGGATACTGAGAATTAGGCAAATACGGTGCTTAGCATGGTGCTGGTACACAGAAGAAAAACAAATGAATTCAGAGTATATTGATTTGTCTACTTTTCCATCTATGTGCTAACAATAAAGTATCTTTTAAAGGAAATAAATTTATCTTTCACTCAACGAATTTCACTCACTGGACATTTAAGTTTAGAGAATTTCTCAGAAATCTGCAGCAGAAACTTTCATAGCCACTATAATTTTGTTGCCCTAAACCATCTGGCCTGCTCCTTCTACTCAACTGCTTTGTTTGTGGTTTGGATTCCCCCGTCTCTCCACTTTCCTAATTCAAGCTGCCAACTCCTTCATCTAGACCACTGTAACACCTTCAGACGTGGCTCCGCAACTCATCTCCTGCATACCCACCTTTCACAACACAGTTAGGGTGGCCTTCTAAATACGTAAGTCAGATCATGCTACTCCTGTTTGAATAGCTTACTTTTTTTTTTTTTTTTTTTTTTTTTTTGAGACAGAATTTCACTCTAGGCTGGAATGCAATGGTGCAATCTCAGCTCACTGCAAACTCTGCCTCTCGGATTCAAGCGATTCTCCCATCTCACCCTCCCCAGTAGCTGGGATTATAGGTACCCACCACCACGCCCAGCTAATTTTTGTATTTTTTAGTAGAGATGGGGTTTTGCCATGTTAACCAGGTTGGTCTCGATCTCCTGACCTCCGGTGATCTGCCCGCCTTGGCCTCCCAAAGTGCTGGGATCACAGGCGTGAGCCACTGCGCCCAGCCTGAATAGCTAACTATTACAAAGAGAATCAAATGCAGCCCCTGCCTATCTTGCTAGTTTCATCCATATCACTCTCCCCAACATTTGTATATTTTAGCCATACTGATCTTATATCTACTCTTAGAACAAGTCAGGTTCCTTCCTGCCTCAAGGCCTTCGCACTTGCTATTCTTTTCCCAGTTGTTTGTATGACTGCCTCCTTCTCATCATTCAGGTCTCACCCAAGGTGCCACCTCCTCGGAGAAGTTGTTGCTGATCTCCCTGGCTGAAGGAGCTGCCCTCCACGTGCTATCTCATTATTGTTTTACATTCTTCATGGTACTTATTGCTGTCTCAAACAGCTTTATTTATTTAATATATTTTTAATGTTTGTCTGTCTATACTAGAATGTGAATTCTATAAGAGTAGGGATATACTTTGTCTGTCTTGCTCATTAAATATATTCTAGCAACTAGAACAGTGCCTAGTATATAATGATTAATATATGAATGAATGAACAAATGCATAAATGAACAGGAATATCAGCCAGAGTGTCCATGTGAACACTGCAGCAGCATTTTCCTTGAGATAAAAGAGTATTTATTGCAGAGGATGTCCCTAACGGATTTTGTCTCACCATCCTCATTCTACTTTGGGTATACAGGAAGACATTTTAGCAAGATGCAGTTATTACTGGGTCTGGCCAATTTACAACCACAGACACTTTAGCGTACTTTTCACAAAGTACCATCTGTTTCAAATGAAGCCAGGGTACAGTGAATGCACTTTGGGATTCTACACCCACCTTTTGACCCACTTCTTCACTGAGAGCTTTGAAAATTACTGGGCATTTGTTAGGACTGCCAAGCACAATTAATAAGTCAATAAGGAAGATATTATTTACCACCTATTGCTTCCCCAGACTGTGCCAATTGCTGCAGGCAGGTTAAAGGTCATACCCTTTACCTTGATCTTGAATTATTACTGGGGATTAAATTTTCACACGTATAAAATAATTAAGAGACAAAAATAAGATAGTGCACAAAACTATATGCTATGGATGATGAATGCAAAAGGTGTTGAACAAATAATGTAGGACAGAGAAGACAGCTGCTGCCTATTTTGAATGTACACTCCAAATGTTTTCTGTTTTACAGTGGTATACTTGATAGGCAAGTATTTCCAGAGTTTAATAATAAGATGTTACATTTTTAGCATGTCCTATTATCTTGCAAAAAGCACTTATAGACACGCTCTCATTTAATACTGCCGATAATCATAGCCTACTTTCACTGAGTACTTATATACTGGGCACTGTGCTAGGTGCTATTTGATCGATTAGCTCAGATAATGTTCAGAATATTCCTTTGAGGCAGGTATTATTATGACCCCCATTTTACAGATGAAGCAACTGAGGTATAGAAAAGTTGGGTAACTTGCTTAAGGCCCCACGTGGTGGAGTCAGAGGTGAAGCTCTGGACATGTGATCCTGAAGTCCCCACTTCAGCCACCAGACATACCACCTCTTCCTATGGGTATGTCTAAGTCCCTTTTTATGGATAAGAAAACAACACATTTAAAATATTACGGTTTGTGTATCATTTCATGGTGACATCACTACTGTAGTCTCAAGAGATATATGACCACAGAAGTTACTTTTCTTTCTTCTCTAATTGCAGCCTCTTGCTCTGTTCAGGATGTCCCAGAGAGCAGACCACAGCGGCTCCAGTGGTAGCCCTAGAGCTCTCAAATGGAAGGTCCTCCTGGTACTAAATGTGTTGAGTCTAGTGACTCTGGTCACATTTTCCTTTCCAAAATGTCAGTTTCCTTCAATCCAATTATGTCTCCTGAAAACCCTCAGTGGGAACAACTTCTAATGTCACTGAAAACTCATTTTTTTGTCAGCTTCTTTAATGCTGCTATATATCAGTGAAAGGCATAGCTAATCTCTTATTCCAAGTTGAGATATTCATTTCTACATTGCCCTGAAAACTCTTTGGTGTATGCTTTGCTGCTAACAAAATCTGGAAATTTGGGAAGTGTGTTGAGAGACACACTGTTCAGGCATCAGAGATCTTGAAAAAAACAATCAGAACTTTCTTGTGGAGAAAGGGTAAAACTATGTAAAACTCCATTAGTCAAAAATGTAAGTTTGAGAATTGTAAACATAATAATAATTTTGTGTTTGTTTTTCTTCTTTACTATGATTTAATTATGTTTAGGAGCCAAAATGTATTTCCTCTTGGAAATGCAAGTCTGATTTTAATGTGCAATACAGAGGAAATGCCTGCTTGATAAGAAAGACAGGGAACAACTTTCAGTAAATGTAGATGATGGAGTCAGAAGTGGAAGCTGGAATTACTTAAACTTCTATCAGCTTCCTATCCCTGCAACACAAACAACATCAGGTCTTCCACAATAAAGGCAAAATTTATTCTTAGTCCATATATTTTAGTACATAAATTAATCTTAAGTTGCCTTGGCAGGTTAAAAAGTTTAATATTCCATGAGTTGAAAACATTTGAATTATTTATGAATTATATATAGGGCCAACTAAAGAAAAATAAAAGAAGTTGTTAAAGACGCTAACATTTTAAAAGGGTGTGGTATGCATTTCCGATTCGCTGATACCAGAATTTAGCAAGCAAAACCCCATGCTGAGAGAGCACTACAGTGTGCATTCTTATGGCTACTGTGCTTCAAATCCAGTGATGACTGCCAGTTAATTTAAAGAAACTTAAACAGCTTCAGAAATCTCTCCTCTCTGCCAGAGTGCAGGAAGGGCCCACGGGGCCTCCTGATAGGAATGGTGTGCATCCTTGTGAACAGCACCTTCCCACAGCTGTTTGCATTTCTATTCCAATACTGTGATGCTGATTTTCTTTTCATAACCTGCCTATGCTGCATCATTTCTCTACTCCAATGTGTAAAATTAAAATCTGATAAGGGTAATGTTGTACTAGAGATTTTCATTAGCTTCAGGGCTGTCTAAGCGCCATTTAATTAAAAAGGTTACATCCAGCTGACTGATTTAGTATGAAAATTATCTGGTCCCTCTTTCCCCCCACTCCAGACTGTGGAGAAGTACAGTGCGTTTTAGAAGGTGGGAGACACAATACAAATGACCCCCTTATAAGCAAAATTTCAATTTCAGAGAAAACTGCACGGTGTCTAAACATACAGAAATGCATTATCCTCCTTCAGGCCACCCTGACAATACTAGTGAGGCCTCTAATTTCAAGGAGTACAAAGGATTGCCGTTTGGTTTAAGGAACAGGGCAGGAGAAGGAGTAGGAACAAAGATCCTACTGGAGAACTTGACTTCATTTGATTTGGGGCTCAAAGACCCCTTTCTCGTACCAGGTTTTGCCTAAAGATGCCTAGGTAGATGGTGTAAACACTCGGCAAATGTATCTGTGAATTTCAAGGGAGTGAAAATGCAGATACCTTCAGCTGACACTTTTTATTGAATAAATGGAGTCAAATATTCTGATTCTCCCAGACAAGATTTTTGGTCACGCAGGTTGTTCTCTATCCTAAGAAAAAAACTACACTGGCAAAAGACAAAATACATTGAAAACTAATGCTTCACATAACTGGTTCCCTCTGATTCCTGCCAAATATTTGAAGGTTCTGCCATCAAAATCCACTTTGCTTATTTATTTTTAAGTGAGAGTTTTACTATTTGCCTTCGTTGGCCTTCATCTAGACTGGAAATTCAAAATGAATACCAGGAAGTCAAATTATTTGCCTTCTCTGCACATTCAATTTGCACCAAAGACTTTGTAAAGAAAAAAATACTAAATAGCACTAGCCTGAAAATTTTTTCCTTGATGTTATGGTTTCAAGTAAATTATGTGTGGCTTGGAAAAAAGACTTTGGAAGATGAATTTGAGTAAACAAACACAACCTTGTTTTAAAAAGAAATGATGAGTCTGATCAACATGGTGAAACCCTGTCTCTACTGAAAATACAAAAATTAGCTGGGCATGGTGGTGGATGCCTGTAATCCCAGCTACTCGGAAGGCTGAGGTAGGAGAATGGCTTGAACCCAGGAGGCGGAGGTTGGAGTGAGCTGAGCTCATGCTACTGCACTCCAGCCTGGGGGACAGAGTGAGAATCCGTCTCAAAAAAAAAAAAAAAAAAAAAAAAAAGGCAGAATGAGACCCAGTCTAACTCTGCTAGAGGGAGCAACACTGTGAGGGCCAGACAAAGAGCTTGATCCAGGTAGATATCTCACCATGGTCGGGCCCCTTTAGGGCCAGCCGTGTCTGATGATGGGGAAGGATCTCAAGCTTGACCTGGTCAGTGGTGTTGGCCAGGAACTGGGTTGCTTCTGCAAGTGTACAGTACTCCATGCTGGTCCCGTCGATGGAGAGGATGTGATCTCCCACGTGCAATGCGCCACATCTACGGAAAGGAGAAATACTCGGTAAGAGGTGGTGCCTACCTCTTTGGAATCTGACTTTCATGTATCTCATAGTTAAACTTTCACACAGTTTTCAATTACTTAAAAAAAAAAAAGAAAGAAAAGTTTGAGTGTTATAGGAAACACCATCTGTCAAATTTTAAGTACCTTGAATATGAATAAGGAGGTAAAACCTTGTGGAAAATACAGAAAAATTCAAGGAAATGTTTTCTCTTGTCCTTCTCTAAAAAAAAAAAAAATCTTATTTTGGAGTGCTTGTGTGGAAAATTGAGGGAAAGTGAGCAAGAGGAAAGGGAAAAACAGGAAAATGTTTCTCCTGGACTTTTGTCTGTGTTTGTTTGTTCTAGGCATTTCTATCTGTAAACATGAGTTGGTAAATCTTCGGAATCTCAAACATGACTCTCAGAATTGGAATAGGGTCTCTTTTATGTGTGAAGAAGAATAACTTGGGGAGATTTCAGTAATACTTCCTTGGAATCCTCACACAAGCTCCAAGATCACCAGTTCTTTATTATTACATTATTCTGGAGTTGAACATGTATTAGTGTAAAAGCTCTTGATAATGGTAGAAATTATGCAGGAGTCAAGTGAGTAATAAAACCAGGCCTGCATGGTGAGTCAAGGGGAAAGATGGGGGCAGGGAAGGGGCTGGCTGCTACATCTTGCTGAGCTCAAGAGCTGGCTACTGGATGAGTTGAGAAAAGTTGGCACAGCCATCAGCATCTCCACATACCAGTCAAGTGAACAGCTCCTTAAACTGGTTACCCCCTGCAGAATGCGAAAAAACAGAGGGAGAAAATTAAAGCACCCTGTGCCACTGAACTGGAGAACACCCCTGGATCAATAGCTGTCACTGATAAGGACTGAATGTCAGGTAAGACCACAGTGGAGCTATAGACTGACCACACTACTGGGGGTTGCTGCAGTTCACTGCACCATGGCTGGAGGTTTTCCAGGCAGGTTGAGGGGCACATAGAGAAGAGGGCTGGAAACATACAGGGGAGACTGGTCATTCAGGTGCAGTATATCTATAAATTCCCAGTGTGAATAGTCTATTTCTCAAGACAAAAGCATTTCAAGTCATCTCTTCCAACTAAAAACGTAATTCCACATTTTTTGCACTTGGAGTGCTTTAGCTATGGGAGATGAGGTTTTTCTTACCAGGAGCTGTAAAATAATTTATTAGATGGAAAGGTAGTCTTTTTTTCCTTCCCCTTTTACCTTGCAAGTATAAAACATTAATTAGAAACATGAAGTTTCATTTTTATTGTGGCATTGAAGCGAATAATATTTTAAGAGACCCTCGAAGGTTGTAAAATCCTAAGATTTACATGCTATGAGAGTATAGGACTTTTTTCAAGTATTGTAAAAAATATTTTAAAAAGTATTGTTTTATTTATTTAAGAAACAAAGAAATCAGATTTTATGGTAGCAGGATTTAATTGTCAACAATTCAGGAAAACCCATCACTGCTCTGCACGGGGTTTAATAAAGATCTACTCCGTTACCCTACATCAAGAACAGGCTAGTGCCCTACGACACAGCAAGAAAACTTGCTTAGTTGCTTGTTTTTTTTTTTTTTTGGTGGCTAAAGGCCACACCAAACCACCAAACATCTGGATGAGGTGAAGTGACATTATGGGGTGGCTGACACATAGGTGAATTTTTAAGCCCTACAACAGTAACTTGCTTTTCTGTGTGAAACCTGTATAAACTGGCAAGAGAACTGTGTGTGTGTTTGTGTATGTGTATGTGTCTATGCATGTGTATATGTGTATCACAAGTGTGTGTACATATGTGTTTATATATACTTAAAATTGCACACATGCACTTTTGAAAAAGAGGCACTTTTTTTTTGTTTGTTTGTTTTTGAGATGGAGTTTCGCTCTTGTTGCCCAGGCTGGAGTGCAATGGTTCAGCTCACTGCAACCTCTGCCTCTTGAGTTTAAGTGATTCTCGTGCCTCAGCCTCCTGAGCAGCTGGGATTACAGATGTCTGCCACCACGACTGGCTAATTTCTTGTATTTTCAGTAGATGGGGTTTCATTTTGTTGGCCAAGCTGGTCTCGAACTCCTGACCTCAGGTGATCCGCCCGCCTCAGCCTCCCAATGTGTTGGGATTACAGGCATGAGCCACCACGCCTGGCGGAAAAGTAGGCACTTTCTACAATACTTACCTGTCTGCAATACTTGCAGATTTGATTTTGTCTATGACAATGACTTGTTTGTTACAGCACATCGAGGTAGTTAGGGCAACCCCAAGGCTGGCACCAGGAGTTTTGGCAACTTCGACTAGTAGTGGCCCGGATGCTGTTGCCACAGAATCTGTCAAAGAACAAATTTCAGAAAGCAAAACAAAATAAAACAAATAAGCAAAGACATAAAAGAAAAAGATGAAGAATATTCAGTTTGATGTTAGCTTGTTAGTTTTATCACTGATACTTAGATTTCCCTCCATATAATATCCCCACAGCCAATGATAAATTCACAGGGCACCTCTTAACACACCTGTTCCATTCAGCTTGTACTGTATTAATGTATGTGTAATGTTCATCTCTTCAATGAGATTTTAAGGTTCATGTCACTTGGTATAATATCTCTTGTATCTTTATCCCCTCCATAGTGCTTGGCACAATGCCTAGCATATACTAGGTTTTTCAGTAAAAGTTTTTTAAATTAATTACTTAATTCAATCAATATCTTAGCACCTACCAGGAATAAATAGATGGATAGATGAATGAATGGATGAAAGGATGGATATAAAAAAGAAAGGAAGGAAAGAAGAAAGAAAGGGAGGGAGGAAAGGAGGGAGAAAGGAAAGAAGGATGAGTGGGTGGATAAATAAAAGAATGACAAGATGGATGGAAGGATGAATGGATGGGTAGATAGATGATTGGAAGAATGGATGGATGGATGATGTCTCTAGCCAAGTAGTAGGAATGGTCCACTAAGTTGAATTTGTAAAGGTTTTGGGTCTTTCCCTCCTCTGGAACTCACTTAGGATCACCTCCCTCTCAAGCATAACTTCATATATGCTTTATTTTTGACTTGGAACATTCTTTGTTCCTTCAGCTCCTTCTAACATTCGTGGACTCAATGCCAACATCAATTCCTTGGGAAGCCTAAGTCGTAATTTGGTAAGATGACTTTCACATGTGCTTCTACAGTCTGCTGTATTCCTGCTGTTGTAGCATACATTTCACTGGTTCATAGTGGCCAGTATGGATGATGTGCCTGTGTTCCTTGCCAGATTGTAAGCATGCTTGAAGGCAGATACTATGTCTTGTCAATCACACCATTCTCAGTGCCTGGTATAATGATTAGCACATCGGAGGTATGCCACTAATAGTTGTAGAATGAATGCATGAACAAATGAGAAAGTTCATGATGTTGCTTAAAGCTCAGAAGAGCCACACGACACAAGGGAAAGAGTCTGGGACATGGAATTAAAACATCTGGATTCAATTCCCATTTTCACAATATTTGTGTCATGGTATCTAAGACAAGACCAATTACTAAAACTGTCTTTTTATTGTATTTTGACAAAATTGACAATTAACAATACTAAAACTTTCTAAGCCTGCTTGCTTACCTATAAAATGATATCTTTTCCACAATGTTTATTAAAACCAAACCAATGAACAAAGCACTTTGTTACACATATAGGATATTTTCATTATTGCTATATTATGACCTCAAGCCTTTGAGTCATCTCATTTTTCAAGACTGCATATTGGGTCTGTAATCCATTTCTAATTTTCGACTGTTCTGATGTTTGACACTCCATTAATACAATTTTGCCTTTCTGTAAGAACATCTTTATCATCAAGGCCCCACTCAGATATAGTGAAATAGGAAATCTGTATTCCGATTGCTGAAGCTCAGGTAATATGCATTGAGTCATGAAGCTGAAAGGTCCATGGGAGAGAGCCATCTTCAGTTTGAGATAAATTATTTCTTAAAGTAAAGATGACAATATCCAGGTCAACAACATGCATATCCAGTGCTAAGGATTCTTGCATGTATTAACACCATGTTTCCTGACTCGTAAGATTGAAATGTTAGTCCTTAAAAAGGTTAAGAGATCATTAGGGCCTGTACCTCTTCCTGTCAATTCCAGAGCAAGCAGAGTTTCATTAATAATATCTGCAAGAAGCCAAAGGTCTTAATCTACTAAGAGTTTTTGGCTCTGGGGTATTACAACTACCCCAGATCCTACGGTTGATTTGCCCATGAACCTAACTATGGTGGATGCTACTCTCTGCTCTCACTCACCTTGCTGTATTAATTTCCCTGATCTCCTGACATCAGACTAGGACCAATGACAATATCCTGGCTTCTCTCTCTCCTTCTCCCTCATTTGCTGCTTTGTTTCTCTCCAGAGTCTCACCTGGTCATCGTGCGTCCTGCCTTACTCTCACCTGGGAGTTTTCAGTGAGTGGGCCCCGTGCCTATGTGCAATGGTAGTTTGCACCTCATGCGTCTCAGTCAGGAGACCCTAGTAAAGAATACTTGTCAGTCCCTGCAGCATCTGTTTTAGTTGTCCTTCTGTCACTAAGGTGGTTAATTTGCCCACCTCTCAATTTTAAAGAAGATCTGTGGTTGAGCTCAGTGCACACAATGTGATGCCTCTGGCTCCACCCCCAGCAGTTGGCCTTCCTCCTTCTGTTCCTTAAGCATGCTGCAAAGCAACCTTTTTCTGCTCAGCCAAACCCCACATGAGCTCTGGCCTACCAGGGCCTTTTCTCACATTACCTTTCTAGAACTGTAGAATGACTAATTTTGATTTCTCAAACCCACTCTCCATGGTCTTGTTGGATTTTAACAGGTATGTTTGTGGGGTGACCATCACTTATTTTCTTCCTCATGGTTTTGTCATGTCTAAAGATAAATTTATTTTGCTTAACAGGTGAAAATGATAAAGTTTCTAGATTACTTACTACTTAATCTCTTTTAGAAATGACAGAAACTGCTAGGTGTTCCCTGATATCTCATCTTCTCTTCTTTTGTCAGTAATAGGGTTTCTAAGTTTTAGCTGAGCAAATGGCTGCCCAGTTAAGAACCACATTTCCCAGCCTCCCTTGCAGCAAGGTGTAGCCATAGGACCAGGTTCCAGCCAATGGGAAGTGAGATGTGACATGTTTCAGGATGTGCTCTTAAAAAGAATGGCTGTGCCCCCCTCTCCCTCATTTCCCCCTTGCTGGTGAAATGTGGGCTCAGAACTGGTAAGCCATCTTCAATCATGCAGACAAGAGCATCAAGCCATGAGATAGATGAAGCCTAGTTTCCTAAAATCTTCAGATTTCTCAAGAGATTGAGAAAGAAACTTCTATCATCTTTATGTGAGCATTGTGAGTTTGAGTCTTTGATACAATGACTGAATTGGTATTCTAATAGGCCTTTTCATTTGAGAGGACTGCACCAATGTATCTGTCTTGGACTATTATTATAAGAAGTGGCGATTTAAAGTAGGTATTTGCAGGTGTAAATTTTATAAAACTACAACCAATCATTACTCAATACTCACACAAAGTATTCACTTTTCTAAAAAGTACTAAATCATGATTAAACATGAGAGTTTTTAAAGAGGTCATCAGGATATTCAAAAGGTATTTAAATATAAACCCTTTAGTTTTTTTTTTTTTTTTCCTGCAGGCCTGTATATTTGTCAAAGTATTAAAACTTATATTTTTTTGTGGTTTTAATGTTCCAATGATCATGAAGAATTAACATGAAATTGTTCTGGTAGAAAGAAATGACAGGAGTAGGAATATTAAGAAGCTTAGGAAAAGGATGCCAGATCCTCTGCCATCATTAAATTAGAGGGCGAGAGAGAGAGAGCATCCACAGCTTCTACAGTAGCTTCTGTGACTGGAAACTAGAATAAGTCTCTCTTCAAGTACAACTTGCCCCATTAAGGCTTGAAAAAACAACAAGTGCAATATTTCCATTTGGGAGATGCAAATATGCAATTAATGAATCTCTTTTAAAACTTAAAGTAGAAAGCTTTACAGTTCTGAGATAAGACTAATTCAAAGTCATGGTTAAGGGAAGAGGCAGTGTGGTGTTATACGGGACTCAAGGCTGGAGCTGAGGACCAGCTAGAGGGTGGTTCTTGCTATATCATCAACTCAGCATGTGGCCCGAGCCATCATCTCCCTTACACCTAATTTTCTTCACTTGTAAAATGAAGAGATTTGAATAAAACTTCCCTAGTCATGACAATCTGTGAATCTACAGAGAAATAATGATGCCAGTTAAGTAGCTCTCCAGAGAAAGTTAAGGCAGGTTAACCAACTTTATGAAAATATACACTAGCTAGAATCTAAATCCCAATATCCTACAAATCAACAGAAGAGGTGAGCTGCTAGATAGAAAAGTGATTCCTGATAACTGATGTTTATAAAGGTGGGATGAAAATCCTCAGATCTTTAAATATTTGGATGACAATAATAACATCCTTTAAAGACTGAGTTTAGAGGGATATCTTCCACCTTCAAAGAGACATCACATAATATGAAGCTTCCACATTAAGAAGTTTCCAGGGCACAACTACAACTTTCTAGCAAGATTCTATCATAGTAAGGTCCTAATCTAACCAGAAAAAAATGATGAAAAAAAAAGGGTGCTTATCTCATGAAAGACAATCAGGGCTTATTGATAATAGTTAACAGAAGCTCAGTCTTATATTATCTCACCTCAGTAGCCCACAGTTTCACTTACCTCAGTCACTCTTAAATCCAGCACACATCATTCCCCCAAGCTCATATTTGTCACTGAGAACAATTTTTGGACGTCTCCTAGGAACATCGACACATGTCCCAAACTGAAGAGTGAGACCACCCTACTCCATTGCTTCTGCATGTTTCCTTCTCCAGTGGTGGGTTCATGCTGGACTCCATCACACAAACCAGAAACCCAGGAGCCATCCCTGGTCCCATCTTCTCCCAGATCCTTATAAATTTCTCTTGATTTTACCCCCTAAATAGCTCTCAATTTCATCCTTTCTTTCCATCTTCACGATCACCATTTTAGCCCAAGTTACCATCATCTGATTTCCCCACATCCTCTCATGCCCTTCACCTTCCCCAATCCAGAGTGATCCTTTAAATTGAATATCTCATCGCATTAATCCCAAGCTTAAAACCTTAAAACAGCTGTTCTGGTAACGGAGTACAGGTTCTTAACATGGTCTACAAGGACCTGTACGATCTGGCTTCTGCTTCCTTCACCAGTTTTATCTTCCACCATTCTGCCCTGCTTCTCTCTGTTCCAGTTCTGAACTCCTATTTTAGTTATTCAAAATGCTGTCAATCCCTGCTACA